CTTTCATCCACAGGTTATTATTCCGTACCCAGTGCTGGGTACTTGATGTGCATAGATAAGAAAGACACACAGTCTAACCTCAAAAAGCTCATAGCACAGTGAAGAAACTTGGTTTTTCAGATCAGCAGGGGGTGAGTTGCAGAAAGCGTCATGAAAGTTACCATCCTTTGACATATGAGGAGTCTAAATGAAAAACGAAAAACATGGAAATGGACCTTTCTCAATTGCCTCCTTGAGCACCTGCTCAGGATCAAGATAGGTCAACTCAGGATAAGGTTTCTGCCCTAGATTATGTATTTGCTCTAAATACACCCACTTAAAAAGTAAACATTGGAAACCCTCCTGAGGCTACCCTAAGTTCTTCCACAAAAGATAACCATTGCAGAGCCTCTTCCGAGTCATTGAGCCCCCGAGCATCCAGCTTCAGGAATCCCAAGCTCCTGGTTCTGTGCCTGGGCTTATTTGTTATTATGGATGTAAACCACTAGTTCTCACTACTTAAACTTTAGTATGAAAGCTGAGTTTAGCCACATACTGATTATTGAGACCACCAGGGCACCAGCTCCTTGGCACTCATGAAGCACCAATACCCATAGGATTTGTAGAAACTGTGGCTGGCATGTGGCAGAAGTCAAGGAAGTCTACCACATACAGATAAGTCTGAGCGTTTTCAATACTGCTGATCTATATAAGACTTTCTGATATTCTTTTCTAAAAATAAACCAAGGCTCAGAATGGTATCACCACAAGTTCTTGTGTTTATTCATTTATACACACATCCATTCAAGAAATATTTAAGTACTTAATGTGTGCTAGGCACCATTCTGGATGATGAAATACAGTGATACATGAGTCATTCAAAGTCCTGTTCTCCAGTGGCAAACACAGAAAATAAACATACAAATGAATGAACAAAATACTTTAAGGCAGTAACAAGTACTTTGAATACTTCAATAACAATAATAACTATGATAATATCAGCAGCTAAACTTATATAGGTCTTAACATGATTCAGGTAATGTTCAAAGTGGTTTACATATAGTAACTCATTTGATCTTCACAATCCTATGAAGGAAGGACTACAGTTACTTCCATTTAACAAATTATAAAATTGAGGCATAAAGAGGCTCAGTAACTTGCCCGAGTTCATGGGAATAAGAAAGTGTGAAAGAGAGTGGTGATACAGGAATGAGGGCTACTTTAGATAAAAAAAAAAAATCAGGGCAGACTTCTTCTAGGACATTTTATTAGAATTCTACAAAGAACAGAGCATAAAGGAGATGTGTATTTGCATGCATACATATATATGTGTGTTGTGGGGGGAGATTATTACAAGGTATTGCTACATGCAATTATGGGGGCTGAGAAGTCTCACCATGTGCCATTTGCAAACTGGAGACCAAGAATACCAGTGATGTAGTTCAAAGGCCTGAGAGCCAGAAAGCTGATGGTGCAGATTCCAGTCTAAGTCTGAAGGCCTGAGAACAAGGAGCACCAAAGGCAGGAGACCTATGTTCCAGTTCCAACAATCTGGCAGAGTCAATTCAACCTTCTTCAACTCTCAGTTCATTTGGGTCCTCAATGGAATGGATGATGACTGTCCATACAGCAGGGGGGCCATTCGCTTTATTCAGTCAACCAACTCAAATGCTAATCTCCTCTAGAAACACCCTCACAAACACACCCAGAAATAATGTTTAACCAGATATCTGGGCATCCCATAGCCCAGTCTAAATGACATGTAAAATTAACCATCACAGATATATTTCACTGGAACCTTTTGAGAATGAGCCAGCCCTGAAATGTTGTGATGGAAGAACATTCTCAGCAGACAGAACAAGTGTCAAGGCCCTAAGATTGTTACAAAGAAGGTGTGTTTTCAAAAAAGAAAGAAGGCCAGCATGGCGTTTGAATGCAACAATGGCAAGATGAAGTTGGCAGGGGTGCCGTAGCCAGATGAGGTAGGGTTTTATCAGACATGCTAAGAGCCTGGGTTTTCTTCTAAGGACAATAAGAAGATGTTGAACAGTTGAGGATGGGAAGTGCTATGATGTGATGCACATTTTAAAAATATGTGGCAACTGGACTGTAGACACATTAGGAGTGGAGACAGAGCAGTTAAGAGGGTTTTGCAGGAATATGGGTAAGAGGTGATGGTGATGAAAACTGTGATGGTGGTCGAGAAGCGAGCAATTCAAGATGTATTTTAGAGGTAGAGTCAACATGATTTGCTGTTGGATTGAAGGAGAGCAATAAGGGAATTAAAGAGATCATTAATGATTATTGTGGTTTTAGCCTGACATAGTGACTTGTAAGAGTCAATAGTTATATTTTTAGAAATTTTCCAAGACCATTATTAAACATACCATTAAAAGTTAAATTATATAAATTTATAATAAAATAATTATAGTAAAAACAAAGGCAATAAATACTCAAAACTCATTACTTCCTAATGATTTTACTTTTACTACATGTTTACTAGTGACTCTGATCTTGAAGTTACTTCTGATGGTGTGTCTGTTTGGTGTATCTGTATCATGGCACAATGATGAGCTGTCGCACATCTTTTCTCCATTCAGTGACATCAGAGTGGGAGCCTGAAATCAGCTACAGGGGGAATATTTACAGGATGGAAATTACAAATGGTATAGCCAGGGCTTGATTTATTGTTTTGTTGATTGTCTAGACTTAAGAAAATGATGGGGGAAATGTTAATAATGCAGATTAATAGGTGGATGGGTGGTGATGGAGGGAGACTTGACTTTAGGGGGTGAATACACAATAAAAAAGAAAATATTAATGCAGATTAGACTTAAAAGAGTGTTGTGTCTATCATTGAATTACGGATAGCACAAAATGTTGAGAATTAGTCTTCCAGCATTCAGAGGCATTGTCCAATGCGCCACCTTTTCCCTCTCCCCCTTTCTTTCGATCTAGAGACTAAGCATTATCCAAAAGCATTGGTTATATAAATGGTTGTATTAGATGAGAAAAAAAAATCTAGCTGTTTTGTTTTCATTTTCTATCAGACAGGAGCACATAAGGAAGATCAGATCACATATAGACAAAAATTTTTTAAAGTATTTATTTTCTGCATATTTAAGTGTAGTGTGTTAGTGAAGTTGCAGCCATGCCACAAGCAATGTGTAATAGACCCTCCACGGACCACTGGGACCCTTTGCATATGCTGAAGGCTGGGTTTTGTTGAGCATAGGTAAGTTAAGTGTTCTGTGTGAGTGAACTGCAAGGTCCACTCACAGACAAGGCAGGGACTTTGTTCACCAATGCATCCTGAGAACTTCAAACATTGGCTGACACACACTATTTAATAAATATATGTTGAATGAATAAATAATTTTTTAATTGCAATAGTGGATGTTTATATGAAAAAAAATACCTCTGAATAGAAGCTTAGAGACCTGATTGAGGATTTTAAGAAGCAGTCATGCTGGATTAACAGCAAGAGAGAAATTAACACAATGTATATGACTATTTTCTCCATGGTGTAGAAGAAATCAAAGTAGGGAAATAATGCCAGTACCAATCTAAACATCCCAGAATAAACTGTTATCTCCCTTCACTTTCTCTCCTTGGTCACTTCCAGCATCTCCAAAAGGATTTAGTAAAGTTTGATGGTTTTGCTTGGATGTTTTAACAAAAGCTGATCTCATGCTGGCATACTAGCATGATTATAAAAAGAAAAAGAAAAAGGAAAAAACAAACAAAAACCTGTTTAAAAGACTAACAAAGTACTTAAGAATTCTCTGAAGGAATAGTCATGGAGATTTCTAAAATATTGGCCACTTTATTTCCAAGTCCCACTGGTATACCCCATCAAGATTTGTCATTCAAGTGCCTGAAAAGCAATGTAGAAGAATTTCTGTATCTTAAAAAATTCTGGAAATAATTGTTACAGCAAATCATTTCTCAACCACTGTTCACACTGGCCAATGAATAGCATTCTTGAGTTCTCTAGGGAGCAGAGGCAAACAAGTGACTTCAGACTTCAGAATCCCAGGAGTGATTCTGGCCTGGCTGTGACTTTCCCAGAGGCAAAATTATCTTCATGCAGAAAACGCCACAAATCCCAGTGATGATGGTCTCTTTCCAGGTCTTAAGACCGGTCTAAAAACACCGAAGCCTTATACCTCCTTCCAAAATCCACTAGCCCTCACAGCATTGGGCTTTTTGCTTGTTTATTACAAAGTACTCTCAGCTCTGGGGTGCCAAGGGTCTCCCTGAACACATTCTTTAGCAAGTGCATTATATTGATGCAGAGGACTCCTCAGATTCAAAATTCACAAGGATTTTCCCTAAAAGGAAAAATATAACTATTTGCTTGACTTTCTTTTTGAAAAAGGACACTTGTAAACAAGCTCTTTTTGAAGCATATTCAAACTATACAGTTAGGACAAAAATAACTTAGCCATTCCTGGGAAAATAAAATCAGTAGCTTAAGTGAAAAAAATAATTAAACCAGTTTTATGGCATCTATATGTAAAACTAGAACTGGTTCATGGACTAAAACATGAGGGGGGCTATATTTGGGAAGGTGTCACATAGACGTTATCAAAAGCCTTCACTGAAATATGTTTAGTGTTAAAATATTTTGTTGCATGATGTGGCTACAGGCCTTTGTGTGACATGAGATACGTGTGAGTTGGGCAGGTACAACCAAGCACCCCTGGGCTGCCCCGGAGTCAAATATACTTTTTGCTCTCTCCAGAGTGATTTCTTTCTTATGGCTAATGCCAGTTTGGCCTTGTGCCCTTCCTGATACAATCAAGAGGGAGCTGTAAACCACGGGTGCCCTAGGTTAAGATGGTGTTCAGCCGGCCGAAATTGTCTTCCGGTCCGAGACAGTCCACCATATAGCATAGTTATGTGCCCGTGTTTCTTCCTGCATTTGAGAAGACGGGTGAAAGTACTGACCTTGAGAATATATAGCCAAATATAGGGGATTGAAGCTCCTAGAGCCTCTCCTTAAAAACTTCATGTACATATCGATGATGACTCCCTCACAATGAATGCATTCCTTGGAAAAGCTGAACAAAATGAGTGAGAATTCCAACCATTGTTCTCATTGGATCTGAGGTAAAAACAAAACAAAACAAAACAACCTTCAGGTACAGTATGTATGGTCATTTGTGTGTGTGTGTGTGTGTGTGTGTGGTCATGCATGCACAGTGACATATATAATCTATATAATGAAAGGTACAGTAATGGAGTCATGGGGTATTACAGAATTTGGCTAATAAAGAGTACAATAAATGCCCCAAATAGAATAATATTTTTAAAGTATTATTATTGTTGTCATTGCTGTTACTGACAATAACAACAAACAACAGATATTAAATACAAATTTTATGACAGGCATTGATTTATTGGCTTGTTTAATTCTCATGAGAAACCTATTAGCTATATGTGATTAGCAGCAAAAGAAAGAGGACAACAATGAGGCCAAGAGAGGTTAACTAACTTGCTCAAAGTCAGAGCTAGGAAAAGGTGAAGACAGGTTTCAACTCTGCTGTTTGGCTTCTCTGAAGCCTATTTTTATGCTAAGTTAAAATGAGTTAAATATTGATATCATCAGGGGCAAATGTGATATTTCTTTGATGATTTGAAAAATAAACCCTATTGTAATAGTAACTCTGAATCACATAGTAAACGTATAAAAAAATATGAAGAGTTAGGGTTTCGAATCATGAGAATTATGAATAAGTGGACTTTTGTTGAATGTTTACAAATATAACAATGCAAACAAATAGACATTATACTTTTTGAGGTGGAATGTCTAAACTGCATCACATCTATAGTCAACTTAAAAAGTGTTTACACATCACATAAAGGAATTAAGCCCTATATTCATCAATTTATAGGAAGTGCTTCTCCACATTAGATAAATGTTCCAGAAGAAAAATGTACCATTATTTTAAAATCCCAGATGGTTTGAAGTTTTTCTAAATGCAAGCTTTAGACAGAGGGAATGCTTGAGGGGAAAGAAGAGAATTTCTGATTTAAATAATGGAGGCATTTGCATGGGGCACCAGCAGGTCTGAGTGTGTGACAGTAGAGATAAGAATGGTCATTGCACTAAGATTAGCCAGTAATAATTAGCAGACACAGCTTTTTGTCCACCGTGATTCCTGTAAAGCCTTCATTTATTTTCAAGACATTTGTGAATGGAAATGTCACATAAGAGCACAACTGAGAGAATCTCATAATGATAAAGTTTTTACAAAAAAAAAAAAGAAAATTTACCAAGTTACAATCTTTCAAGTTCATGTTTTCACTTGATGTAGACATAGTTTTAGAAAACCATGCTTGAAATAAAGTGAAAGTGAGTTTAAATATAATAGACTGCAAGGTGTCAAAATTGTAAAACCTTAAATAGGGGAAATACAACTTGTTCCAACTCCTGAATTTTTCCCTTATATCCACTCCATTCTTCATCATCACACAAGCCCACAGTGTTCATATTTACCTCCCAAAGTCAGTTCTAAAGCCTTCAACAGGACGGTTCACTGCCTCGATTTTACTCAGACTGGTTTTAGGCTCTCTTCCCCATCAATGCCCAGGAGACAAATATAGATGAGGAATCTTCCTTCATTCACTCCCCAGTTGCATGAACCTAGCCATTCCACCTAATTAGAATCTGGGGAAGAAGCCAGGTGACACCAAAATAGCCTCAAGCTAAAGCTGAGACACACAAAGCCATGGAGATTACCTGGCACTGGGTGAATAGCAAGATTAGTAGGAAAATGGAAAAGTAGCTAGGGCCTGCCCATAGAGGTCCTGAAGTGCCCTGTGTTAGTTTATGGGTTGTTATCTGCAGATGAGATCTGTGAGTCCCTTCCCTGACAGAAATTCACAGAACAGAATTCCAGACTGCAGAATAATTGTCAATTATTACCAATTACCAATTACCAATTATCTTATAATCCTTGGCCATTTCTGTTTTATAAAATGAAGCATTTACTTCATGAAATTAAGATCTATTCCAAAGTTTCAAAAAGTTGTTTGATACGTAATGTTTCTAAAAAGATGATTCTATCAGTGCAAAGACAGAGGTGTGAACACACACCACACCTGCTCAGATACGTTTTGAGAGCCTGGGAGTAGCCCTGAAACTGCAGCAACCTTAACTGTCTACCCGTAAGTCCAGTGGCTCTGCAAAAATTCACCTCACAATGGAAAGGGACAGGTAACTGAAAAGCAAGCACTTGCACCCTTTAAAGCCTTCCATCCCAGGCTTGCTGAGGAGAAAAAAAGTGGTGCATCAGTTACAGTTTTCTGATCACGAAGACATTTATATGTCGCTTAAAGTCCTATTTGAATAGCAACTCCGTGCCTTTCTGTCATATGTAAATATGATTGTGCTTAATGTTTTTCATATTGTAGTTACATTGTTTATTGCTTTTTAAATCTATGTTACAAAATGTATTGGCTGAGCTAAGGGTCAGATGTGGATATTTCCAGAAAGTAGAATTAAGCAAAACCCCTAACCCCACCTATCTAATTGCATTTACTAATTTACCTATGTGTTGAAGAGTATCTTGGGAAAAAGAATTGAATATTACCAACCTGAAATCTTTGTTCAGGTACGTTAAGCCTTGCTATCAGTCACTTTTTAAAACTCGTGGGATAAAAGTGATCTGTACTTTGAGGTGTATACTTATATATTACTTACATTGGTATTTTTATGAGTAAAAGAGCATATTTTTAATATTGTGTTTTCGGTTAAATCAGTCAAGTCTTAAAAGTGTAGTTTATTGAGCTTATTGCCAATAAATAGAGAGAGATCATGATTTCATATGCCTCACTTTGACAGTTATCATGTCTTCTGTCAAAACACCCCTTACAATGTCGGGACACGGGAACCCTCATACACTCCTGATGGGAGTGCAAAACAGTGCGGCCGCTCGGGAAAGCAGCCTGGCAGCGGCCATGTGAGCCAGCAGCTCAACTCCTAGCTACATGCCCAAGAGAACTGAAGGCACTTGGCTGAACAAAAACTTGTATGTGAATGTTCACAATGTATTATTCATAATGGACAAAAGTGGGAGTATCCCAAATGTCCATCAACTAATGAACAGGCAAAGAAAATGTGGTATATCCACGCATCGGGATATTATTCAGCAATAAAAAGAATGAAGTGCTGATATAGATTACAATATGGATGAACCTTGAAAATACCATGCTAAGTGAAAAAAAACCCAGACACAAAGGACAACACTTTGTATGATTCCATTTACATAAGGTGTCCCTAACAGGCAAATCCATAGAGACAGAAAGTATACAGGTGGTTGCTTAGAGCTGGCAAGAGGGGGGAACAAGAAGCAGGAGAGACTAATAGTGGGTAAGGGGTTTCTTTTTCGGGTGATGAAAATGGTCTAAAATTGATTGGGGTGATGGTTACACAGCTGTGAATATACTAAAAACTAATTATACAATTTAAATGGGTGGACTTTATGGTGTATGAATATCTCAATAAAACTGTTATAAAAAACTTACAAATAGAAAGTTTGCCTTTACTCACTTTCTACATGGCTTAAAAAATTAACAGTGTGTGTGGAGAGGGTGAGGCTCCTATACGTACAAAAGTTCATGTGAATCTGCATTTCGAGGACTCATGCTGGTGGCTAAATCATCTGATATTAAAGCATCACTCCTGGTGATACAATTTAGTAGCATAAAATGTCCCTTATACCTCTTAAGTTGAAGTAGCCCCAACAGAGATCAGAATGAAGGCGAGACTGAGGGTGCTCCAAGTACTCACCTGAAGGACAACAAAGGTTACTATCACAATCACACAACTGCATGTAATGTGACGCCAGAATCCATCCCATCCCAGAGTGTCAAGGCAGGCTGTGTATTCTGAAAGAGAGTGTATAGGCATGCTTTGGAAAGCTGTATAGCTAAGACCTGTTGCCTTTGCTACACAGGTGGAAAGGTACCAGCTGTTCTCCTCACTTCCCACTTGTGAGGTGGCAAGTGTCTCTCCAAATTTAGGCTACCGCCATTCTAATTTAGCCAACATCAGGAGAGGACTTCCAGCTCCATGGGCAGCAAAAACACCAATGTCACCAAAGACGACATGACAGCAGCAGACATAGTAGCAGGAACAGAGTTCAGAGTGCTGAGTGGCAAATGGCCAAAATGTGCGCCTGTGGGTCTAACCAAGTCCTGGCTCAGTGGAGCATCAAGCCAAATGAACTGTACCACGAGCTCATGGGCACAAGTGATCTTGATGTGCATTTCTTCTTCCCACCCTTCAGAGACACATTCGTTAGAAGGAACTAACCCATGGCAGCAGTGACAACTGCGGACTCTTGATGGAGGGGCATGGGGGCAGCGTTCCAGTTTGTCTTTATGGAGTGGGAACTAACCTCCGTCAGTGCCCTGGCTAAAGCTGTGGAGGCGGTACCATTCCTGCCTCATGTGAGGACCTCGGTGCCCAGCAAAGAGTGAAAGCCAAGACTGAGGCTTAGATACTTGTAGGCATCCTGAGGATTCCCAGAAGTATTAGTGGACAGGGGCTCTGTGTAAGGCAGAACTTCCTGCCGTCTGCCAAGTGGGAGCTCATAGCCTGCAGGGTAGGAATGCTAATGTCTTGAGTGTAGCAGCCATTACTGTTCATTGCCTGTCCTGCTCACTTACCCTCTCCTTTACTACAGATCACACCTCACCCCCAAACATAAGGGCAGATCTGTTAGCGAGGTGAATGGGTCAGAGCTCCTCACCAGCTCTAGGACACAAAGATCGATCAAGTGCCCCAAGAGGAGCTAGTCAAAGTCCTTTCCTGAACTGAAGCTGGAAGGATTAACCCTTCTTCTCTCTGTTCACAAAGCCACGAAGACGTGCCTGAAAGCTGCAGTCCACCCCCACCCCCACCCGCCTCAGTTTGAGCCTTGAGGACGAAGCTGGCTTGAGCCATTAAAGCTCATTTGCAGAGAGAACTCAGAGAGGTGGAGGGAAGGGGGTCTAATCCTGTTCTCATCCTTCGTTCTGCCGCCCCGCCCGCCCCTCACTGACTGTGCAGACCAGTAAATTCCTGCACTGCTTCAGCTCACTTCTATTTGCTTTCTGACATTTGCA